TGTCTCAGAGAAAGCAGATCAATGGGGCCTGAGGACCAGGTGTCACAGAACTAGGGCGTGAAGACGGAAATGAGATGCAGTTTTGGTTGTCACGTGAATGGGGGAATCATGGAGAAGGGAGGAGGAGACTAGAGAACTCAGTGGTGCTTTTTAACCTGTAACATGTGGGAAATTGTAATGATACCAAGGGGGAGGAACTCACATTTCCAGCAAGTGTTCTATCATCCCCAACAGAATTTGGCCTAAATGTGGACCCACACTCCCTGAGCCGACAAGTAATGCTAAACTAACTGTACCTGAGATGCTTTTTGAAGTGGCATCAAGAAAGACTGGGGTTTAAGATCTTTAAGAGCCAGCTGTCAGTTATTGCAAAGGGCTGGGTGACTGTGCAGTAGTCTCCTACAACAAGCTGATATTTGGGCAGGGGACAAGCTTATCAATCATTCCAAGTAAGTCTTCCCTGACTGTCCCTGTGGATCGTGATGGGGCTGATCTTCACATACATGGGGTTCGAATAGCTGTGCAAGTGGCATAATGGCTGGGGACAGAAAGCTGAGGGAATGGCAGACATACTAACTCTGATCAGAAAAAAAAAACAGTCAAAGAATGGCAAAGGTAGGTTTAGTCCTTAAAAAGAAAGTAGCACAGAAGCTTGTGACTCAAAAATGGCGATTTGTAAGTCACCAAGCTGTGTTCTATCTATACATTCTCACAGCGCCTAGGGGGCAGGGAGGGGTGGGGTGGGGGTCACTGGCAATGGATACTGCCTAATGGAAATGTTAGGGAAATGAGGCAGGTCAGAAAGGAGCAAGGTGATCAGAGCTTTATACTGGGTTAAACAAGAGAAAGTGAATTGTTTCAGAAATTTCACAGAGAAATAAAACCCTTCCCAGAGTCAAAAGATGTAATAAGGAGACCTGATTAAAATGCATTTCAGAACCATATGATCATCAAGAGAAAAATGAAATTTTAAAAGAAAAAGAATCTCTTAAATGCCCAAACATAAAACAAATGGGCCTACACCTTTAATTAGGCAGCAAGCAGCACAAGATGCACATTAGCTTTCCCTTTAATCCCTCTCAGAAGGAATGTCCCTCCAGCTGCACATGGTCGCAGCTGCTGCAAGCTCTGAAGTTCCTTCCCGCTAAAGCCTTTGCTTCTGTGCCTGCAGAGGGGGGAAAGAGGTAGCCTGCCTGTATGCCTGCCTGTCTGCGGCTGGGGCCCCAGGTGTCAGCTCTGGCTCTGTCTTCCGCCTGGTTTTTGTTGAGCTTCCTATCACAGTGGAACACCGGTAATGAGAAGCTCTATTTTGGGACAGCGACAAGTTTGACGGTCATTCCAAGTAAGTCAAAGAAAATTTTCCATCACCATTGTGTTGAGCAAATGCTTTAAACTCCAGAAAGAAACGTCCCAAGTCTGCTACGCTGTTTCCCTGCTGCTAGGCAAAACTTTATCTGGAATGTAGCAAAGAGCACTCCCTCCCCTCAAAGATGATTTATGCCCTGACAAGTCTTTATTTCCCTGCCTAAAAATTCCTGGGGGAACAGGGCAGGCAAGCATTGTTTGCAGCGATGGTCACCCCCTCTAGTTCACCCCTACATCTGCATTGACCAGAGAAGGTTGGCCCTTTGGGGCACAGGTCTCAGGAGCAGAGAATGAAGGGACAATTCTCAACTGATAGAAAATGGACTAGAAGACTAGAGAAGGAAAATAAGGCAACTTTAGAGAAAAACTGAAATATAGGATAGTGAAAAGGATGAGAAAGATGGCAGGTGTGTCCAGACTCATCCCTGAGGGAGTCACTGATACCAGCTGCAGAGAGAAAGAGGATTTCTGTTCTCTCTGAAGAGAAAATTGGCAGAAAAAATCGAAACAGACACACATGCCAAACCTCTCCTAATTACAGCCTTTCATCTCAGTTTTTCTCAGTTGTTCCAGCAGGAAATGATACTAAAGGGTCACTGATGGCTTTGACGTTGTGGAAGCATTGGAAGGGGAGAAGGAAGTCATAAGTGATGAGGGAGGGAGACTGACAGTGTGGGGACTTGCTTAGAGTTTGGGGCAAACTTCTAACTTTGAAGGAAACACCTTAACCTTTGGGACTGGAACCAAACTCACCGTTACACCCTGTAAGTACCTCGTCATTGATCAGGAAATCAGTTATCCTTTCATTGTCAGGTTACCTGTATGAGATTCTGGGGGTCATACTAGACCATGAAGGCTTAGACAGGAGAATTTTCATCTATCCTTTTTCTTAACTGATAGAGATGGTTGGAAGCCAAATATCTGAGTTTTCTAGGGAACTCCAGTCTTGAATATTTAGTCCTAAACTAGCAAATATGATTCACCATTCTGTTTTTGCTGCTGCCATCATTGGCTAATGTGACATGTGAAGAGAATTCAGATAGAATGCCTGCATCTTCATTTTCATCTCATATGATAATTTTAACTTTGAGTACTGCAAGTGTCTGGAAGAAATGGTAGAAGCGTGGGATATCAAAGAGATGAGCAAACCAGAAGACCCAAAGAGGCAGGCAGGTGGAATACCAGGCACGATAATTTCACAGAACTAATCCCGTGTTGTGACTCTCAGTAGATGGCAAAGGTGTTTGGATAGGTGCTGAGAGTTGGCGCTCTGGCTGGAGCAGGCTTATGGTTAATGGGGGCCCTGAGCGCTGATCCAAAAGGGAAATTTATACTTGGAAAACTCAAAGTTGTTTTTCCCCCAGTGTAGTTTATCAGTGTCGCATCACATCTGGATTTAGTAAATTACAGAATCAAGGCACAGAATCGACTGTTAAAAACAAGTATGTTTGATAAGTGTGTGTGTACGTGTGTGTGTGGCATATATATGCACACAAACATACACACAGTAGTGTGCAGTACATGGGGTAAATAGATTACTTGCACCTGAAATTCAAAACTGTGGAAAGTTTGAATATGTTCACTTCGTATCAAAGACAGCCTCGCAAAATGGAAAGAAAAGCATACAGAAAGAGAAAGAACTGGAGGTGTGGAACTTTTCCAAGTCAGGATTTCCCAGCTGTCTTAACCACTCAGTTACTTAGAGGGATCTTTCTTCTTTTCTTTTCTTTCCTTTTTTTTTTTTTTTTTTAACTGCATTAGAAATTAAAGGCATGGGGATTGAGAATTTGTATGGCTCAGACTCTTCTAGTGAAAATTACATTATAAAGTGTCTCCCAGTGAGGCTGGATAAAGCACCTTTAGACATCAAAGGGGTTTTTTTGTTTTTTTCTTCTCTCTGAAAAAGATAGGAAAATAGTGCTCTCCTTACTCTGAAGCTAGCAATGGGGAGCTCTGAGAGAGTCCTAGAGTTATGAAGTGAGGTGGTGGCAGAGCTGAGCTGTGGGACATGGGACCCAGTGACGGTCAGTCTGCTCCCTATCACAGATGCCACAATAGCCAGAAGAGTTAGGGCACTGTCTCCAGGTGAAAGCTTAACACGCCCGGGGAAAAACCCCACTCTTCTGTGTGCCACTGACAACAACTCAGTATAGGAATGCTTTACAGCCAGAGTCATTCTAAACCAGAGGCCCAAATATTTGAAAGCTTTATGTCGAAGCCAGCTATAACAAGTTCGTATTCCAGGCAGTGCTTCCAGAAATTTTTAGTGGTTGGTGGTTGCTATGGATTTTGAAATGGGAGGACATCTCAGCAGAGTAGAGTTATTTGGAATGGGGTTATGATTAAGATTAACGAGATGAAAGAAAATTCTGGATAGAGGGCTAGAAAAGTCCTAAAAGAAAAGATACAGTAACGCTTTGAAGGTGTTTCTTCTAGAGAAGAGTTGTAACATTTATCCTAGTCCAAGAAGCAAAGAGCAAACACAAGCCAAATTCCAATACACAGGTAACCTTTTCACATTTAGAAATTTCTGCAATTATTACGTCTTTGGTTTCTTGGCCAAATACCAGCCAGTCCTAAATGGAAAGTGGGCCAGTCCTATCTCCAGGGTCAAATCACTCACCTCCCCCCACCCCCCACCCCTACCCACACCCAAGTGCTGTTTTTGTAAAGGAGTTTGCTGCTGTGTGAATTACGGAAACAAATTCATCTTTGGCTCAGGAACCATTTTGAGAGTCATCCCTTGTAAGTATAAAACACATCAGGCCCACCCTAATCCCAACTGGAGTTTCATTACATGTTGAATGGAATCTTTCTGGTTTAGAAGTGTTTTATTCTAAAGAAATAGTAAGTGAAATTTCAGGTGCAACACCAGCACTGCATTAGTGTGATTTGCTTAAGAATTTCCATGCCTTGCGTCTGAGAGAGCTAATCACACCGATTAACTGGTGTGACCCACAGCTTTAAGCTTGAATTTGAATTGAAATTGAAAAAAAGAAGTCAGTGTCTCTGTGGACGGCGCTGTTTGGATGTCTAGACTCTCAAAATGGAAACCTTAGTCTGCAGTTTTGAGTTTAGAGATTTATCCTGAACCTGTGACTTAGCCAGGGATAAAGAAAGGATGCATACTCCCCAGCTTGTAGGGTGTTCCTAGGATCAGTGTCAGGAGAAAGCCTGGGCAGGCAGTTTGGTGAGGAGACACTGGTGACAGGTGTCTGCCCTGTTTCTGTAAAGCTGCTGACAACAGTGAGAGGGTGGCAGCACAGACACTCTGACTTTCAGGACCAGGACTCGGTTGGCAGTCAGGCCCAGTACGTCTGAGGGGAAAGTGATATCTTTACATCTTTTTCTATTATTTGTTCTAGCCTGGCATTTGAGTTGTCCTAGTTTAGATTCCAGATGTACACACCGGAGCATCTTTTGTACCCCTTTAAATATTTGTGACTAAGGGCCCCTGCCCTACCATCCTCTCCTACGTGGCAGAGAGTTTGGTGACCATGTCTGCTCTCATGAAGAAGTCAACAATGATATGGTTGGTAGCTGTGTCATGGCACTCCCTGTCCTCATCTGCAGGCCCCTTCTTGTTTTTGTGTGGTTTGAGCTTTTATGCCAGCAACTGGGGGGTGAGGGGGAGGATGACCAGCAGCACGAGTAAGGGCCAAAGGCCTGGTGTTCATGGGCTTCGGAGTGGCTATAGAGGTTCTCAGAGACTCGGGGCATGGGTTTGTGGCAGAGAGTTTATGTAAAGGGGAGATTCAGGGTGAGAACACCGGAGGAAGTTCCTACCAACTCACCTTTGGGAAAGGGACTCAGCTGATCATCCAGCCCTGTAAGTACTTTGACCTGGAACCTGTGGATCTAAATGCAGTCCCCGTGGGGACATTTCCAAACTCTGCTCATGAGCTTCTGGAACCACTGGTGTCGTTGCCACAGTCCTAAGCACAACAGGGAGTTTGAGCCTGTTGATGAGGGAGGTGATGCAGTCTGTGCTTTGGAGGACTCTTCAGAGCTGCACTTTTCAGTTTTATTTGACTACAAGGCCATTTGGGGAATTCTGGGCTCCAGCAGACAAAGGCTTTGAGCATAAGGCTGGGGCATGAGTACACACAGACCATCTTTGCAGTTGCATCCATAGGAACTGTGGAAATGACAGAGGTTAGGTTGTTTCTCCTTTTCCATCTTCATGCCCTCTTCTCTGCATGACTTAGGGACCTTAAATTAGAATAACTATTAATCATTTGATTTCTCAGCCCCATCACTCATCAAGTCTGACAAGAGGATCCATTAATATAAACCCCAAAAGGGAAAGGACAAACAGCTCAATTCCCAATGTCTTCAGAGTTGAACTTGACAACTCCTCAGCCTTAATCAACTAGCCAGCACCCCATGATCAATTTAGGTCAAAAAGGGCAGCCAGCAGGTAGTGTTAGTCAAGGAAGTATCTGTCCAGAGTCTGGCTGCCCTCAGAGCGGTTAATACTGCAGAGTTTGAGAAATGGGAATGGATCCTTGAGGGCTGGCCCAGGCTGCCCATCTGGGAAGAGGTCTTGAGAGAGCTCAGAGTAAGGGAGTAGAGGGTATAGACCAGATGTAAACTCAAGCAGAAGGTTTCTGTTATGGAGCATCTTATAGTGTAACCACTGACAGTGCCAGGAAACTTGTCTTTGGAACAGGAACAAGACTTCAAGTCACCCTTGGTAGGTAATAGGAACCATGAGGTAACCTTAGAAGTACGTTCCTCTAAAACAAAGGGGTCTACGAGGGAAATATCCTGGCTGATTGTAGTCCTCGCATCCTTCAGTGGGAGATGATTTCACTGAGGAGAACTGCATTCAATCAGTATTTATGTTATTTTTATTTCTGTTACTGATGCTTTCATTTCCACCTGTGAAAACAGACTTTTCTGTGCTCCAAGCTTCTTCAGTCTTAATGACTCTGTGCCTTGCCTTTGGAACAATGGGTTTGGAAATTAATTTATCATTGGGACTTTGTCACTCTGGGCAGCAGAATGAAAAGGCCTCTCAAATAGAAAATAGAGAGTCCTGCTTATTCTAATGACTTTCCAGGGGAGATATGTGTAAATGAGAGGGAGTGGGCTAGAATGAGCTTTTAATGATTGTTCTAGAGTGACTGTAAGGAAACTTAACATCCTACACGCTTGACTTCTGAGAAGAATCCTTTTGCTAGGCCCTTAATGGAGTAAAAAGCAAAACCTTGACCCTCTGTGAACATAATCACATGCCTACCTCCTTCCCTCAAAGTACTGCCATGTTTCATTATTTACCAATTACGAAATGACTACAGGATAGTTAACATGAAATTATATAGATGAGTAGTTTGAGCATTTTGAACCCATAATTAAGATGCAAATTATAGAAGTTCTGGAGCTTGCTACCAGGCAGTACCTCATACATAGTGGTCCCTGAAGACAGTGTGTTTGAGCATGATTTGTTTGTGGCATTGTTTTGTACACTGTTCAGGGACCTATTTGAAAGATATGTCTCAGAGCGCCAGTCTGGGGTCTAGATTAGCTGTGCTCAGTGCACTGGCAAATGTCCACTTTAATAGCCTAGCAGCATGACAAAATGACCCCACTCCTGCAGGAAAATGAAAACAGGAGTGTTGTGTTTTATAGTGTGATATTATCAGCGCCTCTCCCCCTTATCCCAGCCATGCCAGGAGCCTGGCTGCAAGGTTTCCTGAGGAGGTTTTTGTTAGAGGTTGTATTACTGTGACAATAATAACAATGCCCCACACTTTGGAGCAGGGACCAGACTGAGAGTAATACCAAGTAAGTAAGGGGAGTGGGTCAATCTCAAAAGCTGACCTAGGTGAGTGGTGGTGCTGTTCTGTCCAGTTTCAGTGGGATTAAGACACTGCCCACTCCGAAGAGGATTGATGCCCGTAGTTTCTTTGTGCACTTGAGCTGGTTGGAAGTTGGTTAGTTGCTGAATTCTGGAAATCCTAAGGATTAGGTCATGAAGATATAGAAAATTCCACTGGTTTCTTCACTGGCTCTGGATATATGGGAATGCTGTTGTTGCTGGGTGCTATCGAGTTGATTCTGACTCATAGCGACCCCATGTGACAGACTAGAACTGCCCTAAGGAGCAGAGCATAAGCAAAGCCCATATCTATAAGACAAGGTAAAAAGACCCGACAACGCAGAAATCAGGTTTTTCTCAATAAGACCCCTTCCATCCAAGTTGAGGAAACCCTGGTGGCGTAGTGATTAAGAGTTTGGCTGCTAATCAAAAAGTGCGGTTCAAATCCACCAGGAGCTCCTTAGAAACCCTATGGGGCCATTCTACTCTGTCCTATAAGGTCGCTATGAGTCAGAATTGACTCAACAGCAATGGGTTTTTGTTTTCATTTTTTAAATCCAAGTTGAATGCTATCATCTCTTTTGTCTTTTTTATTATTTTTCTTCTTTTGAAGAACTATGGCTGTGAATGTGGCGTGATTCTTGGTCCTTAAGATAGTCACTGTATGACCTAATGTTGACTACCTGTGCTGGGTGGCGTGTGTCTACCTGATCTTGCTATTCACCCCCATGTGTCTCAGGCATGAGCAGGCCATCAGAATCCAGTGTGCCAGGAGCAGAACTGGTGGTTTAAGATTAAGCTCAGATCTGTCTGCACAGCCAGCTGTTACGTTAAGAGAAATGTCCTAACCCTGCCAAGGAGCCAGGTGCTGAGGCTGCAAGGTGTTGAGACTTCCACTAGAGGGGAAGGTGACCTCACTGGCTCAGTCTCCCCTCATTCCTTCCGACTTGCTGATTATTGTAAGGTCCTGTATGACTGTGTGAATTATGGAGGAAGCCAAAGAAACCTCATCTTTGGAAAAGGCACTAAACTCTCTGTTAAACCAAGTAAGTGCTGGCATTTCAAATACTGCGACAGTGCATTCCACTGAAGTGCAACCCATAAGTGAGTGAGAAAAAAATGTACCAACCCCTTTCTCCGTGGTATTTCCCAACCTTCCCCCATGAGCCCCCCTTACTCCTGGACCATGCCCCTGTCTGTCCTCAGCCCTGACCAACACTTTTCATCAGGCGAACATAGGAAAGCTCTGGGCTTCATAGCATGTGACAGGGCCACCTCCCCATGACAGCATGTCTCCGCTTTGGGTGGGTGACCTTCTCAGCAACTATTTCATGGAAGGAAAGCTTTAATTACACTATCAAGAGTCCCAGATGACCCATTCTGTGTGGCTGTTGTGGGATGCGTTTTTAGACATTAGCTTGGCTAGGGGACCATCGGAGGAGCAGGGACAGGGTGGCTGCCAGGAGAGGATTTTTGTTTAGGGAGAATGCACTGTGGAACTCAAACACAGGGTATGCACTCACCTTTGTCAAGGGCACCTCACTGACGGTCACACCCAGTGAGTTCTTATGGTTAACTAATTATCCTTTCTGGAAAGAAACCCAGTGGAACCTGTTGAAACACAGCTGAATTTGTCTCATTTAGCATGCAGTTGTTAACTATGTAGAATGTGTGAGCAAGATATGAATACGTTTCCCTAGAGGCTAGATTTGGTTATCAGGGCAGTTTGATAAATTGTACTAATACTGCAGTCAGTGTTTCTTGGAGGTCCACAAAACACGTTGGGCTTTGGGAAAGAGGCAGAGATAAGAGGAAGAAAAGCTTTGTGATAGAGGCAGAAACAAACCAATGAAAGCAAGCCTGCCAGAACAGCAGTGTATAGCCAAGGAAGCATGTCCTTAACAGATAAGCAAGTTTATGCCCATGTCATCTGGTGGGACTGAAAAATCCAGACAGCAGACTGAGGACACGGGTGAGGGGAGAGCAGCAGAGCTTCTCATGCTTTCTTCTTCTGAGAGAATAGCAGAGCAGCCTTTGATGCGACACATTGGTTGGCTTGTTTCCCTTTGGACAGCCCCTTCCTTTGCCTCAGGGACAAAGTCATTTCCCACACGGCTTCACCTTTTCCCAGGCTGGCCGAGTGGGCTCTGGGAAAAGCAGAGAATCACAGTACCTTGGAAGCCTCCCCACCTCCTCTGGATTATCTGTGATAAAGCAGAATGTTTATCTGAGTTGGGAAGCTGTCGGGGACAAGGTAATACAGAAGGATTATAGAAAGCAGTATTGAGAATTTACAGGCTATTTCCACCCTTGCAGAGTTCACTGTTGTTTTTTCTGTTAGAAAACACCAGCACACTATTTGCAGAAATGCCTGCCATCTCATGTTTCTGCAGTGTTTCATCAACAGTCCTCTGTGCCTGAACCAGGTGTGACAGTAAAGTAATGGGGCTGATTTGTTAACACATAGAGTTTATAGATTCAAATGAGTGGTCCAGTTAACCCACTCGCCTTGAGGTGGTACACGCTTTAGTCCACCACACTCTCCATTGCTAACCTCCTCCTTTCAAACTGCCCTCAAAGACCAGAGCACATTCTTTTTATAGCATCCATGATGATGTTATCTTTTGAAGGTGGATTTCACTTTTGTTAAGGATCCAAAGGCTTTCAGAGCCAAGACTTACAAAGGAAGGACTCAAGTTAGTTACTGAGGTGTGGCTATAAAATAATATCATTGGTTTGTTTGTATGGCTCGTAAATTGACTCTCGAAGAGGCATTTCAAACCTGTTTTAAGAAGTAGCACCATCAGGTGTTTGTTCTGCTGTGTATATTCTCGACAACAACAAAAATATATATATATTTTTTTAAAGTAGCAACATCAGTGGAATAAGCGTCTGGATTCCCAAAGGGAGTACTTTGCAGGGTTCAACAATCATTTAGGTGTTTAAATCCTGATATGCTTGTTAAATCAGCCTGTTTATTTAATAAACAAACTTAAGATAAAGAGCATGATGGCAAAAGTTTGGTAAACTCAGACCCATTAGAAGCAGTGAAGACTTTCTGTATGGACTGAGATGTTATCCCAAATAAATTCCTTTCAGAAAAGCATGAGGTCAAGACCTTCCAACAGGGAAAGTGCATATGTCCTACTAATTGCTGGTAGAGTTACTCCAAGAAATGGCAACCTTACGTCAGTTTATGTAGAGACATATAGCACTGTGACTACCTCAGGAAGCTACAAATACGTCTTTGGGGCAGGCACCAGGCTGAAGGTTTTAACAAGTGAGTATTACATGCAAGACAGACTTTATTTTAAAAATTATTGCTGTTCATATTTGAGGGGCAAGGGCAGGTAGAATAAGGGAAGTACTTGTTATGAACTGTGGAAGCTAAAATTACTGCTATCTGAAGTGGCAATTCTGGGCTGCTCTACTCTGGACAAGAGAGCTCTGAGGCTCACCATGATGGACCTACCACCAATTTCATAAGAATTGTATTAACCATTAGAAAAATATTTATTAGCTGAAGACCTTGAGAGACTTCTCTAAACACGACAGGAATTCTTTGTTCTTTATTCTCCTCTTTAAAAAGTGTATTCTCATTCCACATTTTTCTCTCATTTTTCCTACCGCTCTTTATTCCTTTCTCCCCTGTGCAATTCAAGTGCTGTATCTGGGCATTCATATTTTGAGAAACCATCTCAAGGGAAAATCATGCCTACTTCTTAGCTTGTCATTCAAGACTCTCTAAAATCGGAGTTCTTACCCTTCTGCAAATTTATTTCCACCTATTCCCTTTCACAAAACCTCTGTTCCAGCCAAACTGGACACCTACTGTCCCCTGAACACCTATGCATACCTACATCCGTACTCTGTGTCCATAAATCAGATACTATGGGCCCATCACCCAAAATAGACTTTGACAGGTGAGACAGATTGAATTTCCAGTCTCTTAGCCAGGAGAAACAGTGCAAGTATCGCCAGACTTAATTTCACAGGGAGAATTTGAGAAATCTTATCACTTTTAAAAAATTGAGAGGCAAGGTAAGAGATCCAACAGACAAATAGCAAAGTAAGAAGGAAGGAGATGACTTCTATAAATGGGATGGGAAGGCGGAATCAGTCCATGGGAAGATACTCTCTGGAGGAAGAACAACACTGACTAAATCCAACAAGGAAATTTGTAGGCTGCCATATTACCTGCGTTTTTCTTGTTTTCTCTCTGGAGAGTTCCATTCCTGGTTGTTGGTTATTAAGTCCCTGGCCTTCAAAGTGACCAGTGGTGAAGAAGAGGGAGGAGACCCTGCTCCATACTCAGCAATGGTGCCCATGGAAGTTCTGACTCAGATTTTCCTTCAAGTTACTTCACAATTGAGACTCAAAAGGATCACGTAGAGAGGAAACCTCTCAGAGAATGATTCCAGGTTAATCCTTAATATGTATTGTCTCCTGGTAAAGGAACATCGAGAATGGAAAAATGTCCCCTAGAACAAGGCTAGAAAGTGGTGAAAAGTCCTGTTCCTGGTGACCATCTAAGTAGGGGCTGAAAAGATCTAGAATTAGAATCAAGGGCGAATCCCATGGAAGACCATTGTCTGGGTCTGCCTCTAGTTCTGTGGAATAAGAAAATATGGCAATCACCTTAATTGTTTCAGGAGCTGGATCTTGGTCAGTGGTGTCTGGTTCCAGCATCCTAAAGGTACAAACCAACATGCTAGCCCTTCTTGCCAGGTGGGCAATGACAGCTTCCCTAAGTCTCTCCCTCACTAACAACGGTCTCTCTCTGTTTTTTGCTTTGGTGCCATGGACATGAACTGTTCCTACTTTGTCCAAATGAGGTATGTGATTTTCAGAACCCCTGGAGAATTATTATCTAAAACACCAGAGGATATGCTAGGATTTTGGCAGTCACTATTCTAGGCCTGTGCAGGAAAACTCCTTCTTTAGAATATTTAGAAAGAATATCCTTCATTTATCCAAAACAGAAACAGTCCTGAAATCCAAGCTGGTGCAGGGATTCTGTGCCAGGTTATTACTGTGACAATTACTTAATATTCTCTGTGCTCACAGTATCGCTCCTTCCAGCAGATCTTTAGGGAAAACTTAGTTCAGTTTCTAGGAGGTTTTCGCTGAGCTCAAAATCACTGTGTGAATAGTAATGCCGGCAGCATGCTTACATTTGGAGGGGGAACAAGGTTAATGGTCAAACCCCGTGAGTATCTCTGCTGAATCCATAATGACTGCTCTAATTTCAAAAGGAAATTAAAGCACTGAGCTTTGTTTGGGGGCTGTTTTCCCCCCACTCAATTTTTTTTTTTTTTTTTTTTACAGAATCTGATTCTAATGATTATACAGTGTCTATACATGCAATATGTACATGTGAAGATGGGCACATAAATAATCTTCTGACACAGGGACAAAATAACTGGAGGAAAACATACTCCTTGTCCTTTTTTGCTTATCCATTTGGGTTGTAAAGTCTGATTGCATTAAACATTGGGAGGGGTGAGAACTGGAGTGGGAGAAGTTTCTTCTCTGCTGGCCTTGTCAGGATTTCATCCTTCCCTGCTGGCCTGGTCAGGGGGCAGCTCGATCTGGGTGTGGAGGGATGAACTGCCTAACCTCAGAAGAGCTTTTCCATCCTGCCTATGCTGTGAACTGACCATGATAATAACAGTCTTCTGCACTACCTCTTTGGCCAGGGTCCAAGCTGGAGGAGCATACCAGCTGGATTTGGGGATTGAAAGGGATTTCCTGATACACATTGGCCTGGTTGGTTTCTATAAAGCTTTCTATGACTGTGTAATGTTGGCAGCAGCCGTGAGCTGATTTGGGGACTGGGGACAAGTCTGGCAGTAAATCCAAGTGAGTCTTCATGTTAACTCTCGCAAACTTGTCTGTGCAGTATGAAATATCTCAGAGTCTGCCTCCGTTTTTAGCCCTAATGGTTAAAATGTCCAGCTATGAGTAGTGTTTTTCTCCTGTCCACCCAAGCTGAGCCCTTGCCTACCCTTAAATCAAAATAACTAGATAGAGCTATCTAGAAGTG